TACAGTCACAAATTACATAATATGTATTGACTTTGAATTCTAAATCACTAGGCACATCAACTTCTTCTAGATCAACTATTTCATCATTTTCACTGATCAAGATTATACTATATTTATACTACATATCTTAGTTCGTAGCAATAATACAGCTATATAAACAGTAGTTCATAACATTTTTTTAAAATACAAATTACAAAAATATTAAATGAAATGCAATTATTTTTTTTTTCATTACATTTTTAAAATTAATTTTGCTAAAATATTTTGCCGCCCCCGGGCATATGTCTACCCGTGCCACCCCCTAAATACGGCCCTGGCAATGCATGTAACCTGAAAGTGAAGACGGTCAACTTTATGCCGTGCTTCTTGTACAATCTTCCAGGTTACGACGCGCATTTCATCGTCACTGAATTGGGGTACGACGATCAAAAATAAAAAAACATTTTTTTTTTATTATTCCGTATAATAATTGATATATTACATACAATCTATTGCCTTCGGCAAGTTGTGTTAGTTTACATTGGAATTACAGCTCGCCCACGCCCGGGTGGAGAGTTCATAGAGCTTGTTACAAGATGATTGAGTCGTTCTAGGAATAGTCAAGGACAAGTGTGGTGGCGGCGGCCGCTACTTAACATACACTTTTCAATGTAATTCATACATTTAATATTAAACGTAATATATAAAATGTATATTATCTCCCCCCAGTAGACAATTGGCTAGTTTACCCTATCCTCTAGTTGATTCCGTGGTAGGAGGAGAACAGCACTTTAGAATGAACCCCCACCTTTGGTATCAATTTATAGTGCGCATGCGCACTAGAGTTTAAACCACAGCCATTTTGAAAGACCTTAACACCCCATACACCTACCATAACAAGACCAAGCTCCCATTACCCCTTATATCATAAGACCAATCTTTCCCCTAACCTCCTCTATCATGATACCAAGCCCAATGTTCTTGAAGTGACACAGAACTTTCTTTTTTACCCTATTAAATTCCGAATTTTTTTTTGCTTCGATGTTAATTTTACTAAGATGTGTTTTTTTTTTTTTTTTTTATATGTCTGTTGCCACTTTTTCTCAGGACCGATTTCTTTTTTTATTTCATATTATTGTATATTACAAAAGCTTTCATTGAAGATATATATAAAGATGTCAGTATTTCCGAAACACTTTCAAAAATTGAAAAAGTTCTCTTTTCTATATGCATTAAGTTTTGAACTCCCTCTGTATAAAGGGAAATGTCGAATGAAAGAAGTATATAAATAATATTTCTCATAAAAAAATTGTATTGATCCATACTTTTTTAAAAAAGTTATAGCAATAAAAAATTAAAAATGTAAAATATAAAATAGAGAATTTTAATACAAAAATAGTATACTGTAGTCATTTTTACAATGAAGACAAAATAAAGTCCGAACATTTTTTTTCTCATAATAAAGTATTATACATTAGCTTTAGTTAAAAATATATATAAAAGTATCAGTATTTTGTTAACACTTTCAAAAGTTATGTTGAAAAAGTAAAATTTTTGTGAAAATATTGTCATTTTGAATCTTCCCCTTGAGCAGGTATAAAGTCAGATTTATTAAAAAAATATACAAAATGATGGGTCCATAAAAAGAATAGTATACCAAATAATAGGTAAAGATATCAAGCATCTATAAAAAAAAAAATTATATTGATTTGGTCATTTTTAAAAAAGTTATGGCAACTTAAAGGAAAAATACACAGCATAATTAGTTCGAGGCACAGTATATAGTATAGATGATATCTGACAGTAATTAAAATTACTATCATAAAAAACGCTTTGATGCAAATCTGTAGATAGTCTTTTTTTTTAAGAAATTGGTTGATTATCCAAAAAAAAAATGAACTCCTCTATTTCTATCATTATTCCTAATAAATATAATTTATAAATAAATATCTATTAAATCAATTCAATGTAGTATGAAATTGATATTTAATAATTTAGTATTTTAATATTTTAGGAAAATTTATTTATTGCAAACGTGTATAAAAATTGAAGGGCTTAACACAAAACTTATTAGATAATAATTTGTTGTTAAATATGAATAAATAAATAAATTTTTAAAGGATGCAATATTGTCGGAATACTTTCAAAAATTAAGTTGAAAAAGTTAATAATTAAGAAAAAGTTATCCTTTTGAATCCCCTTTGATAGGCAAATATTTTATGTATCATTAAAAAAAAATTAAATTGATTTGATCATTTTTAAAAAAGTTATGGCAGTTTTAAGTAAAAAAAAATTAAAAAATGTCAAAAATTAGCGATTTTTAAGTTTGTAATTTTTTTGGAGATTTCCCCCATTTACGGGGAACGAGGAAAATTTTTTCAATTTTTTAGGATAATGTCTTCGACTAGATATGACTAGATATGTCGTATCGTTGAAAGAAATCGGTTCGGTGAGTGGTAAGAAAAAGTAGTAACAGACACAAAAAAAAAAAAATAATAATAAAAAACCCATCATAGTAAAATTAATACCTTCTCAGTTTTGCATCAAAGTTAAAATAATTCAATATCGAAAAAAAAATTATATTCAAAAATTAAATTTTAATTTTAAATGTTTTTAACGTTTTTTTTTTATTTTCAAGAATACCATTTACAATTGTTATAAAAATTAGTCTATGGTATACCAACCAAATCAAATAATGATATTAATATTAAAAAAATATAGAAATAGCTATCTCTTATCTCATAACGATAATCAAATTTTTTCAAATTTCTTTTTATTATGAAGAAATAAGTTTTTTTTCTTGTTACAAGACTTTATCATTATATATTGATTACAATAAATGGATAATATTGTTATTAATAAAATAATAGTTTTAGTGTTTTGGTTTTAAATAATAATAATAATAATAATAAAAAAATTATAAGTGATATTTATATATTTTTATTGCTTTTTAATAACTGAAAACGATTTTTTTTTTCAAAATAAAACTTAAACTTTTACTGAATAAAACTTTTTTTGGGCTCGATAACTTAATTTTATTTTTCAGATTGAGTTTCAACTAGTTGTTGCTGTATATCTTGTAAATTTGAAATTTATTTTTCTAATTCTCCTCTCCATACATTATTTTGTTCTTACTTTGTTTTTTAAAAATAGTAATAACACAACAATGTCATATAAAACCTAATCTTAGAATAAAATTTTGTATAAAAAAAATAAATTTTTGCCTTATCTCAATTCTATAATTCATAATATATTTTAATATAAAAAATATTAACAATATTATCACGAACTGATTTTGGCCTTATATCAAATAATATATTTATATATATAACAAAGTGATCAAAATTCAAACAGTTTTTTTGATTAAAACTTTTTTTTCGATTATTGTGATATTTCAAAAATAATCGAAATCGTAGGAAAAATGAAAAAAGTCGGCGATATTGATATCCTTGACAAACCCTAATTTTCAGTAAATAAAATTACTAAAACATATAAATGATGATTATAAAAAGAACATATCTCTTTAAAAATTTATTTAGTATCTTAAATTTCTAGGGGTAAATAGTTTATATTCAACATTATCTATATTTACAAAATTACGAGATTAGTTATTTATCAAAACTGAAAAATAATGATTAATTATGACTGATGTAACTTGAAAGTATAACATGAATATTAATAATATAATATAATTTATCAGCTTTAATAGATTTTGTTAAATAATACAATACATATAATGCCTTAAAAAAACTATTTTAACAAACACTGTATAGGTCTTCATCAGCGAATAATCAATTAAGAGTTTTTCGTATTTTAAAGTTGTTTATTTGTTTATATTTTTGTACCGCACTCACAAAGCTAATAATTTTTTCTCTAGAAAATTCTCTATTGTAAAAATCTAAATATATTTATAATTAACACGACAATATTACTTTAAATTTTATATTGAAAATTGTAATTTCCCAGTGAACAAAATAACAAAGTTATATTACTATTTAAATTTAGATATTTTTTTTTATTAAAATTTCAATGATGTTAATTTTTTAATGTTGTTATCATACGTAATTAGAAAATTTATAATTTTTTTAATATTCATACGTATTTAATAAGTTAAGAACGATATAAAATTATTATTTATTGACTTCGATATGAATACTAATAAAAATGTTCATAAAAAGTAACGTATGTTATATGTCTTACGTTTCCATAAAATACTGAAGATAACTAGAATTTTCTAGAGAAATTTAAGTTGCCCCGACTACGCAAGTTGATCAGTCAATACTACCGATAAGAAACAGTTTAAGTAATCCTCGAAGTATTAGATAACATTTATCGTTACTCTATCATTACTGTTTTCAATAACAATAAATTTGTAACAAATCATCAGTAAAATATACGGTTACTTTACTACATACAAATTTATTGACTCACTACAAATTCATTCGTAATTATTAATAGATTATATTATATCCGAATTATATCATGTTATATAATTTTTAAGTTTATAAATGCTTAAAGATTTTAAGAATGACACTTTTAATAATATGTGCATATGGGGGCTTGGCATTTTCAGCTCCCCCAAAAATTGAATAAATTTATACGTATTAAAGTATTTTTAGGACGGGGAATTAATTTTGAACCCCGTAAATGTTCTTTCTAGTAGTGCTTATGCTTGTTTAAAATCGATTAAATGTTATGTCTTTGTTGTATTATATAATCTTTATTATATGTGCTTAGGTGTTTAACACACTCAAGTATATTCTTCCACTACGAAATCGCCTGGCGACAGGCTTTGCGTGTAATGTATCGAACACTGCAATAATTATTTTTGAGAAGTGTCATCTATAATGATAGAATTTTTTCAATTTTCAACTGTTGTTGAATAGATAAATTTTTAGTTATAAAGTTATTGGTTGAAGAGGTGTTTAAGTATAATCAAATGCATACATAATATGGAAGATAATTAAATCTTGTATCGCGTTAAAGTGTAGAAAATATAAAAAAAATATGAGAATAACGAGATAAGATCACTTGACAAACACAAGCTCTTATAAGAACATTACACCGTACGGGCGTTTCTTATTTACCTGACCGATAGTCCTGCCGTTAGTGTGCGTACATGATAGGCCAATTTATTCATTTACTGTGTGATCATTTCGATTGTAAGTACATTTTAATTAAAATTTTGTTTTTATCAATCCGTATCTTTAAAATCTATCTCAGTCTTGAGAAATTTAAGAATCGATGTATGCTAATTGTTTTTTTTTTTACATTTTTTTAGTAATATACTATTTATATATTATAATTTTAAAGTATAGATAGAGGAGAGTACTAGGATAAGGATCGTTTTTATTTAAACGAATTTCTCAGTTAAGTCACTCCCATTAAGTTATAACAATACTCAAGTCTTCTGAAATAATACTTAATAATTTACTATCGTATAGTGGTTTACTAAAATAGATAATTTTTCAAAATGTATATTGATGCTAAAAACAATTATCTGCTATTAACATTCTTTTTAAAATTTTTTCGTTAAAAATAAAATCAATAAATTAATATAGCTTTGATAAAGAATTTAGTTTTTGGAAGAAAGTGGTACTTTTTCGTTAACACTCGTGAACCTTGATTATAGTACAATATTTATAAGTTAAACAATGAAAAAATATTTTAATTAAAAATTATAATCTACTATAGTATATATTCCACTGCATTTATATTGAATTGTAAAAACGTTTAATCATTATTACTACGTTGATATAATCAGGCACGTAGACAAGGGTGGGCCTGGCCCCCCTTAAATTTAATGTGGCCCAGAGCCGGCCCCCCCAAATTTAAAATTCAATTATTTTTACGAATTATCAAAAACGTGCTAGGCCTTATATACATTGAAATTATTATTCATTTGTGATTACTATTGAGTAATACAGTTATTATTATGGCTGTATTTTCATTTTTATATTCATAGAAAACGTTATTTGAAAAAGATAACGTTCTAGACGTAATAATAAATGGAATAGCAATTACTCCAAACGTGGTTGTAGGTAAATTTTTTTTAACTCTGGTCTAACAAATGATAACAAACTACCAAGTATCTGCATTGATTAGAATCTAGTTGATTACAAAATTCGATAGAGTATACTCTATAAAAATTTTTTGATAAATCTTATCTATAATTTGTTTCTTTTTTTATAATTTAGTAGTTACAATAGGTAATTTATTTGTTTTTGTTAATTTGTTATTTGCGTGCTCTAAATAATAGTAATTAAAATATGACTAAAAAAAGGCAGGAATTGTTTTTAATTTTAAATAAAATAAAATAAAATTTTACATTGTTTATAATTTATATTTATTTTAAAATTTTTTATAACTTAATTGTTTATTTTAGTATTTAGTTTTTAGTATTTAGGAATAAATTATTTTTTCTTAATAGCTTAAAAGTTGAAAAATTAAATCAGCTTATGTTCATATCATTATTTTATTAGCTTCGATGCAAAGCTGAGAAGGTATTATTTTTACTATGGTGTGTTTTTTTTTGTGTCTGTTACCACTTTTTCTCAGCTCTCACTGAACCCATTTCTTTCAGTAATACGTCAAAAGATCACAAATCGTATCTAGTCGAAGACATTACCCTCAAAAATTGCCATAACTTTTTTATAAAGATGTATGATATCGTTACTTTTCATTTGATATATTTTTTTTATAAATCTGACCCTTTACCTGCCCACGGGGGGGATTTAAAATGACAACTTTTTCACAAAAAATGAACTTTTTTCACTTAAATTTTTAAAATGTTCCGGAAAGTCTGACACTTTTATCTATATCTTAAATTAAAGCTAACGTAATGTACTATTTTATTTAAAAAAATTTCGGAGTTAATTTTGTCTTCACGGTGAAAATGGCTACCGAATGATATTTTTGTGTAAAAATTCTCGATTTTGTATTTTACATTTTTAACTTTATAATGCTATAACTTTTTGAAAAATGTATGGATCAGCACAATTTTTTTATGAGAAATAATATTTTTTAATAATCTCTTTTTCATTCGACATACTTTATCTTAATCAGGATATTAATAAGGAAATAGCAGATCATGTAACTTTTGGAATAATCCACCAATTTTCGAAAAATAAACACAAATTTTGAACTTGTAAGATTCATAGAATGGGATACTGTCTAAGAAGGAGTGGAGGGACCCCCCCACAATCTTTTCATGGTAAACAAATTATGGAAAATGATACAAAGGCCCAAAATTGTTGGCCCCTCCAATAAACATTTTCTGGCTACGTGCCTGGATATAATCTGAATCGTTTAATCCTGATAATATATAATTTAAAATAAATTAATCGAGATAAGATAAAATGTTTTAAGTATTTCCGTTAAAAACATTTAAATACTTTTTCGTTATACAAGGTGATTTTTTTTATCATAACCCACTCAATTACTTACAAAATAATAATAATTTAAACATTTTTTTTTTTTTGGTTATCTTTAGTTATACATTATTCTTGAATTATTAACTATGTAATACTTATTAAGTTCATCCCATATGCCTTATCAGGCATAAGGGATGAACTAGGGATAAGGGATGAAATGCTGATTAACATTTAAAGTTTCAAATTTTGAGTTAATATGTATGTATAATACACAAGGGATTATAAATACAGGCAACTAATTGGTTTTTCTGACATTGTTGTCACAGTCCAGGATTGTTTATTATTAATTATGACTATCAATAGATATCCTTTTTGTATTGTCAGTTAGTGTATTTATAAACTCACAACAATGTACCTTACTATCATTGATAATAACAATGCTGTGTATCTGCTAATATCGATGTCATAAAAAACCAATTAGCTACCTGTATTTGTAATACCTTGTGTATTATACATGTATATTAATTTAAAAAATTGAAACTTTAAGTGTTTATATTTAATAAACAAATAAAGTTATATTAAA